AAATTACAGCTACAGGATCTTAACGTGTTTTAAAAATTAACACTTCGTTTACGGACATTTATTATACAGTTTGTTGTATGCTTCTTAAAGTAATTGATATCCGTTCGTTCAGATTTTACAAATTAGAGATTTAAATGTAGACACCTAGGATACATATTCGTGTAACTGTATCAATCAAAACCGACCCAAATATTGAACAATTAATGTTTATAAAATTCAATGCAAGTCAGATTGACGTTCTCTAAATCTAGTGTTAATATAGAAATTATACTTTGCCCAAATCTTCATATTATTTCGCAATAAAAATGTAGCATCGTGGCGGTCATGGAGAAATGAGATTTTCGACAAGCCTTTAATGGTTCAAATCGCCAACAAAGTGTTAACAAATAGAATTTATTCATTAACACGTATAAGGCTTATTTATTATATTTGTGTTATTTGAAATTCTTTAGCAGAATATATTTTATCATACAAAGATACTTGTTCTATACACATTGTAATGTTTAATTTTACAAAATATTGAACAACAACTGACTATAAGTATCATACTGAGATGTAATATTTCTTACAGTCACATACCCATAAATAACGGTAATCTTGTCGTACTCAGCCACAGACTACTGGAAATTATATGCCCATATTCAGCTAAACGTTTTGTCCTGACATGCTATCGCCTGTCACGAATGTGTTAATAGTTCAGGAGTCAACGACCAACTCTACCTTTCAGGTTTTAACGATGAAACGTTTGATTCATTCCCTATCTATACCATTGCATCAGGTTTTTCTACTTGTATCACGCAGTTGATCACTTTCACAAATGAATTTGTCACATTGAACTAAGCAACTTCCGTTCAACGCTTTGATTAATCATACAGTTATATGCAAAAGAGACTGAAAATAATGAAACACTAAAAATATGTAACACGTGTTTCACAAAACAATAGGAAGATAATTAAAAATTATTTAAAAGAACTATATATTTTACTGTATCGAAGAAAGATGGTTTAAGTACAGAAATCGGAAAATTACCGATTAATGGTGAATATTCTCATTTGTAGCAATTAATAAACAAATTTGTTCTATTTATTTGTTTTTACTTATTTAAGTATCTCTATGTATCAATTATTAATCATACAACGACAACTTCATTGATTTCAAAGTTCGTTGGCAAAGTTAAGCAGCGAAACGTTCAGCCGCTATGAAAATCTTCGTGGAGATTAAAATGTCCGATTGGTTCGAACTTTAGATATAAATTACGATAAATCGGAATTGTGGTCGAATCGATTATGTTGTTTCCGTTGGAACGTAACGAGACTTCAAAAATCGGTGAATATTTCAGTTGGCAAACGGCGAACGGATGTTTTTATGGTATAATTGGAAGGGTTCCGGGCGATTCGATAACGAATCAACATCAATGGTAATTAACATCGATACCAGGAAACGCGTCCGTTCCTGTTCTCTGTCTTCCTGCCGCTCGAGTTCACCAATTATCCTTGATTATTAACCGATAACGAAGAAAATGAAGCGAAACATTCAATAACAAGCCCATCGCGATTCATTTTCTCCTCGGCCGCATCCGTTTAATGGCACTTGGACCAACGGATCCGTCCCCTCGGCCTACCGAAATATTTCCCGTTGCTCCATTAACGCTTAATAAAAGCTCCGAGTGTTTTCCGCGCGCCTCCACGTGGCCAGAAACATTAATAACCGTGAAATGAACCGCGTTAACGATCGGATCGTATCAATCTTTACCTCAGTGCCAGGAACAAATTAAAGGCCGGACATAAAAACAGCTGCGAGCGATCGTATATTCAAAATACAAGAAAAAGGGTCCCTTCCTTTATCGCTCGACGAGATTAAAACACTAAAACGGAACGAAAAAGAAATGTATGCTAATATACTCGGAAGGAGATATAATAAAACGAACGATATACGTTACGTATATTCGAGGAAAAGTAATAGCGGATGCGTACGTAAAATAGTGCGGCTTGTATGAGCGGGTCCAATTTTTGATACATTCATTCCACTTAAAAATATATTCTGATTTAGTGACGCGCGATTGAAGTATATTTATACAATTGAATCAAAGTCTTAATGAAACTCTCATGATTTATCGAAGATAACACGAAACGGTTGACTTGAGTAATTACTTCTAGCAAAGTAATCAAATTGAAGTAATAACGATTCTTTTCATATCATCATTTTTTTCATAGGGTACACTAGATTTTCATATACAAATCAGAACAGTCAACTTTACTTTCAGAAAACTGATCAAGTTAAAGTAATAATAATTATTTCAACATTTTTATTTTTTTTTATGAAGTACTACATTACATTTTCGTATACATAATGTTCTCAATGTTCACGTTTCCGAATTCATAAGTGAATCGGTATTCCACGTGAATGTCGCCTGCGGAGTACCTTTCGGTTTCACGTGCTGGAAACTTGTTTGACCACCGCGATGGTCGCGGTGCAACGTAATTACAGTTGTCACATAAATATAAATGTAGTAGCTGTTGCAACAATGTTGCTTATGTGCATACGTATTTCGCCGTATCCCCATACCCATCGAGCGATACGAAAATGACCGCGGTACGTTCGCATTCTGGAAATTCTCGATTTTTTCATGGTGTCGTTCACTGAACGCTGGTAACTGAACACGATATTTCACTTTGTTGCTAAAACGGAGTTCACTTTGCATATCGTTCTGAATATCGCTGAAAACGAACGTTCACTTTCGATATATAATGATCCTGGAATGGTGCTCCAGTTGCAGAGTTCGAGGATTCAGTTCGTTATAGAGCGGCGATGTGTAAAAATGACTGTGATGTGTATTCATTTACGGATATTCTAATAATTAAATATAATTGAACGAATTGGAATGAATAATTACTATTTTATTAGTTGAAGCGTTCACGAGTCAAAGTAATTCATTCTTAAGTGCCCCAAAACGATTCTTTATACACGTATTGTCATCAAATTGATGACTGTGGCAAATGATTCGCTTAGTCGATGAAGCAATTTGTTACGTTGAAATAACGATGTGTTTCTTCTTCTTCTTCTTTTCATTTTGTTTACGAATTCGTTGTTGTGATGATCAGTAAGATTCGATTTTGCTAAGAGAAAACGGTGTGTTAATTACAAATTTGTTGATAATTATATCAACCCAGTGATTCGCCGTTGAATTGCTACGCATATTTTCAAACTATTCATTCATAGAGCTGCGTCTAGATCGTTCACCAGTTCCCGCTCACGGAAGTTCCTGTCGTGGTGCACAGTGAGGTATTTGCTCGATCTGAGCGGTCAAAATTAAAAGCAGGACTGTATCTTAACAGCTTAGCTATCTGCTACTTAGAAATTTAACTACCTTGCTACTTAGCAACTTAGCTACCTGCTACTTACCAAAGGTAATGAACTATTAAAGGTATAATGTATAATTACCTGAAAACTTTGATACGGAAGAAAAATTCGTATAACTTTTCCAGAACACATGGAAAGTGTTGTAAGAAATTTCAGAAATAAAACGCGTAGTTGGAAAATGCCTAGCTTTGGGAATAGTTCATCACTTTTCGAGTACTCCAAGGATACAAAAATTTGGAGGACGTTCTTCCTCACATATTCAGCTATGTCGAACATCAACAATTTTTCGGTTGAGGTAAAATTTTGAAAATGAACTTTTAGCCGGCCTGATTGGTCGCATACCCCACTGCGCGGCGTGTAGATCGCTTCCGTGAGTGTCTTTGCCCTTTAATCAGAAGACTCCCACTGGAAGTCTCCTCCCTCGATGGTTATCAAGGTATTTTTATGACGGATCAACATTGTGAGCAGCGTGTTCGTGTACGAAGATTATACGTTAAGAAGCGGATACCGTGGATTGAATTGAAAGTTTTGAGAAGAGTAGATGTTATCCGGGCACTACAATGTAATTTATTTACTGAACACTCTGAAACTTATCCTTCATTTGTATCATTCTATATTCATTTGATAGTAATACAAAATGTATTTATGTTTTATGTTAATCACAGATATAACGTATATATAGAATAAATAAAATAATTAGTAACATAATTCGTACAATCGCTTAAAAGTTATTTCACTGTTTAACCCTTTGCGGGCGAGGATTTCTTGAAAGAATAATCTTCTGTTATCTCAATAATGAAATTATGTTTCCAACTTTGTACAAAAGTTTGGTGTCGTCAAAATAACGAGGTTCGTCCACAAAAGGTTAATCTCGATAAAAGATTCCGTTTAGTATGATAAAATTGTTCGATTCTCTCTGGGTAGTCATATATCGTCAACAACGTGTTGAATGGCCGGTTAATTCCACGTGTGCGGCAGTGGCTGCGGTCACATGGAGCGTGCTCCCAATGCCCGTCACAATCATTAACCATCCTCTATCGAATCGTGTGCCGAACCTTTGCCGTCTATTGACGGTAAGAAGAGTTAACACTTAGAGCGTTACAAAAGCAACAAGGATCTTTCGCTGTTTCGTGAGCAGTATTGATTAACAATCTAATACTAGTGTCCACTGGACACATTTTCAAATGAATTTATAGATACATAACATTTATGAGTTGTAATGCCTAGTAACTCGTGTTTTTAACCCCTTGACCTACAATACCGTGTCAGACTCGTGATAAAAATTTTAAATTGAATTTAAGAAATCTGAGTGTTATTTATTTTCTTTAATTATAAATTAAATATTACTGTTCTATTATAAATCGTTAATCTTAATGATAGAGTATTTACATCGACCATAGTTAAGAAGTAAATCATAGTCATCAATCATTTCGTAAATCATTTCGTCCAAGCAATTGTCTTTCAAAAATTTCAAAATGGTCTTTTCTTATTGACAACATCTTCAAAGGATAATATATTTAATTTCCAAAATGTCACTAAACATTTATTTGAAGATTATATAATGGGAATGTACTAGTTACTTGTTTCATTACAAATATGTTAGTCACTTCTCTCCTTCAAGAAAAATATTTTGGTTCCAGGTAAACCGTAACTATGAGATCGAGGAAGTTCTTCATCTTCAACAAGAAGCTCCTCTGAACGATGCCGCGATGTGAGCACCATTAGTGCTGCTCCCAGAAAGACTTACCTATCAGTGGTCGCAAAGGCCAAAGGGTTCCCCGCGGCTAGTTAAAAGCTCGAGCAATCAGATCCAAGCGTGCATCCCCAGGGTCCCGAGGAGCCATTGCTTCGATCGCCACCGCACATCACGATACGAAAAAACCTTGAACGAGACGTCCAAGGGAAACTAAACCTTCAAATCCCTGATCCCCAAAGGTTACAAGCTTCATCAGCTAACCATCATCTCCAACGCGTTCCAAACTTGCTCAACCATCGAACTGCACAGCTAAAGAATCTTCTTCCTCCAGAGGTATCCTCAAAGCTGAAACTACACTCGACTAGGTCAAGAAACTCGGTTGGTCCCATCGGAAGATAGACAAAAGGGCACTACGGGCATCGAAAGGCGTAGCATCCAGTGGTCTAGAGGTGTCCGTTGATAGAGATCTTCTTTTTCTCTATTCGGCAGCGTGCGTTCCAGCCGACGATCGATCGTGTCCGATTAATTTGGAGCGCGGCGCGCGGAGGTGGAAGAAAAGCAGAATAGTAGGGTCGGCAAGGAGAAGGTGGAGGGGACCGAAGGGGAGTACAGGCGGGATAATTTAGGAAGGTTTGACGATAGCCTCGTCAATAGGAACAGTGTCGATGAGACAGGGAGATGAGGATGAGGTGGTCGCCGCTGATGATCGTCGTATTCCTCTGCGTCGCGGCGGCGCGGCTGGCCAGGTGCCAGGACTCGCTGCCGCACAGGACACCGGTCTATTACCGGGAGGAGGACGCTGAGAGCGCGCACGACGCTCGTGCCGCGGACAGAAAGGACGACCAGCAGCAGCATCGGGAAATGGACACGACCGGTTCCGGTGATCCGGAGTTTTACGATCGCGTCGTTAATTACAGGAGCAACAGGGCCATCGATGCTTCCAGGTACCCTTGATATCCGTTGTATGTCTGCGTCCCTCGCGTTGGATACATGTTGGCCGGATCGAGATCTTTCGGTTCAGACGTTCGGTGACGCAGGAATCTGCCTGGGAATCGGGATTCGAACGATTCGGAATTTTGGGCGTGGACGCTTGTTTTCTTTTTTGTTTGTGTTTGAATTTCGTTTCGATTTCTTTTGGAATGGTTGTCGGTATTGACGATTCGATTCGGATTGCGATTAATATTATTTTTAGTTAGAGTTTTGGAGAGGTTTCGAGAGGTTTGGGATTGTGAGTTGTTTTGGATTGGGCTCGTCGGAAATGTAGATTAGTCGTGGAAGCCGAAAATGTTCGATACATTTCCGGCTTCGATAATGTTTTACTACCGCGTGCACAGTGAGAGATTTTTTAAACTAAATTCCACAGTTAACACTAAAAGTACCGAACAATTAACACGACTTATTTCCAATTTTTTATGAAAATCAGAATAATACGTTTCTTGAGATTCGTAGGGCCTGACAGTTTTATACCTGTGCGAATACGCTAATTTAATTGAAACGCCTTCATAATTTAAATATTTGCAAGATAAATATTCTGAAGTGGGTAAATCTGACTCATCCGGTAGTTTTAGTGTTAAACTATTTGTTGATGAAACGGCAGATCGTCGGAGGCGAACACGAAGACGAGTCAGCAGTCGGGCCAGCTGTCGAACCTCCCAAAGCCGAGCACGAAGTTCATGGCCAGGCAGAGGCGGCTGAAGAACATGACGATCGGCGACGGAATCTGCCAGAGCATCGACATACGGAACAGCGTGCAGAATTTCCCGATCATGAAGAACTGCCGCGTGATAGAGGGCTACCTGCAGGTGGTGTTGATCGAGAACGGATCTGAGACCGAGTTCCAGGACATACAGTTCTCCGAGTTGCGCGAAGTCACCGGTTACGTTCTCCTGTACCGCGTGAACGGCCTGAAAAGCCTCGGTAGCCTGTTCCCGAACCTCGAGGTGATACGAGGAAACATCCTGTTGACCGATTACGCTTTCATGGTGTACGAGATGCAGAATCTGCAGGAGGTGAGCACGTTTAACCTTTGCCAGTTGGTATGTACACACGGCGCGCTGATGACGTCGGAGACTCGACGGTCGTAAACATGCTCTGTTTTTTTTTGCTTTGAAATCGGTTGACACCGGCTGAGATTGAAAGGTTCGGTAATGTCAAGCGGTATGAATTTGTAATTCTTGAATTGAGTATTCTATTTTGTGGCGTGTCAATGACATTGGGTGAATTCTTAAATTTTTTAATCGATGAATTTCTGGATTTCTGAATGAGAGATCGTAATAGTTTGAAATATTCTATATTCTCGGTTCTTAAATTCACTGACAATATTAACAATTTTCAAATACGCGTGAACTGTAAGGAACTTAGAAATACTTGTTACAAACTGCCGAATCTATGGAGTGTTAGATGATCAAAACAAAGATCCTATAACACGAAGGATTTTTTTATGGTGAAATTAACCCCAAGAGGTTCACAAGGAGCAATAAACACAATAACTCCTGGGATTAGCCTCGAAACTTTTATTTAGATTCTTGTGAGACAAATATTTATAACAATTAGTCATTTAACCCATTCGCGCGACATTCATTTCATATATTTTGTTTTGTTCATTTAGAAATTGCTTAGAATCTGTCTAAATAGTATGATAGTATAGTAATACAAAGGAAAACGAAAAATACAACGTATCAGTATTCATTAACCCCTTTTCCTGTAATATCCAGTCAGACTCGCAGCGAAAATTTTAAATTTCACTCAACAAATTTAAATGTCATTTGTTTATTTTTCATATAAATGAAATATTTCTTGTCTATTAAATCCTATTCTTTTTCTGCTAGATTATTAAAGATAACGTAGTTCACTTAAACGCAGTTGTGAACGAAATCATAGGACAAGGTGTTAATATACCACGACAAAATTCAAACCTGCACCGCCACTCTGACATGTTATTCTGCGCGAATGGGTTAACAGATCATCGAGAAACATGGCTCAATAATCCAGATATACTTTCTACTTCGTGTCGCGTAACCTTTGATATTTCCACTTGGTCCGGTGAAAAAAGCGAAACTAGAGTGTCCTGTTTGTGCTGTAAATATTTTTCGACGGACAGGAAGCCTCTACGAAACGAAAGCGCGGGTTTAACGCTTAGCCGACGGGATTCCCACTGCCGTGTTGTTCCTCAAAATAAACGTGAATCAATATTCGCTTAGATGGCAAATATTTGGCGTATCACTTTTTCGAGCGAGGCGAGAACGTCGGATGTTTTCTTTTTGCCCGCCAATCGCGAATACTGTGCCGATATCTGTTGTCATTTCCAGCAGTAACGCGCGATTCGATGACCAGGAAATCGACGAATCTACTTTCTTTAACATTTTCAATTTCAATACAACATCTGAATTTTAATTGAATATAAAAGTTTACATTCTTAATTGAATTTTCCGGTGATTATCAAAAATACATTGGAATCCTAATCGTGATTACGCGATGATAATTGTAGAGATTTATAATATTCCTTATTTTTATTTTTAAATACTTGCAATCATTTTATTATGTGATGAGGGCAATCTTTATTAGATTCGAAACGAAGTATCTTCGTTTAAAACATTTTCTTGTTTTAAATGAAAATGAGATATTCATTTCTCCGAAAACCGTTTGCTTAGAACTGTAACCGAATAAATAGTTTAGCAGTAGAACTTCGATTGCTTAATTTAATTAGTCGACTAACGGGCCGCATAAGTGCAGACACACGTAGCAAAATAATAAAGTCTGATATTAAATATTAAAGTTCAAATGATGCAATTATAAATAAAATGTTGGAATAAAATAATCCTTTCCCTTTCATTCGTGTATTATCTGTATTTATATTAGTCACAATACCACTAATACTACATATATATTTTTATTATTTAATATTTCCATCATAGAAAATGATGAACACTTTCAAAAAGATTTTCGAGTTCAAATCAAATCGACTTCATTCTAAGACTGAATTTTAATTATCGAGATTGTGGGTGCCGAGACCTTGAACGATCTGGATCGCGCAAAGTGTTCAGTGACTCTATTAACCGCTTAACCAGTTAACTGTGTTCGACGAGTATACACGTCATGTTAAAATCAAAATGATACTGTTTCTTTCAATGCTAACTTACTTATTTTTTCAGATAAACATATAATTCTTCTTCGTTTCGCATTAGTTTTTCGTTAGAATATTTTATAAATGCATTTGGCTTGCGTTTAACGAGTATATACTTTATTATCTGATTTCATTGCGAGTATTATCAGAAATTTTTGAAATTAAATTCCACAGTTAACAGATTAATGCATATCTTCGTGACATTCACGCTACAACGGGTTGAGAAGGGACAATACCGAACCTCATTAATTTATTTAAATTCGGCATCATGTTTTGCTTCTTCCATATAGAAAGGAAGCTTCCATCACGAGCAATTAAAAGGCAACAGTTTTATATTGATAGTCAAATGGAAATATGAGTAACGGTTGACTTGAAATTCATGTATAACGTTGTACACCGAGGAAGTTTGATCGTTAACGGTTTAATCGTGGTACTACCGTGTATAATTATATAGATAGTAGCGCGATAAAGTAAACGACAAGGTGGACCGATCGATTTGCGTCACGAAACGCTAATTTTCCCAATCGATCGTTCCCACGGCGACTCCTTGGCGGGATGCTGTGCTCCGTCGATCCGTTCCAATTCGACGCAGCGCTGCCAGTTGACCCCGCCGGGTCAAGTGACGTTAATTAGTTAATCGAATTAACTGGGCCGTTCGACCTCTGGTCCGCCGATACGCATCGAAACCGTCGGTTTCTTCTTGCAGATCGGCCTGAAGAAGCTCACCGAGATCTCCAGGGGTAGCGTTCGGATTGAGAAGAACCCAACCCTTTGCTACACGAACAATCTGAACTGGGACCGAATCGTTTCCGCTGGGGAGAACGTTATCAAAGACAACAGGGAAGAGGCTTCATGTCCAGGTAAGATTTATTACTTACAAAGAAATCAAAGAAAAAATCTCGATTTGGGTCGAAAGACTCTGGGACCTAATCAAGGTGAAATAAATAAATGAATAAAATAAATATAAAAGAGGAAAGCGTCATGACCAATTAGTGAAACAGTTTCCGATGAGGAACCATTGCGATATACTGGAACAAAAAGATTTTGACGATAATAAATTGTGTTATTTGTTATTAGATGTTATGGTCACGTATGAAGTTGTAGTTGTTGTATAGCTGTTATGATTATAATATTACTTGATGACTGGAAAGTTTTTGACGATGAAAAATTGCAATAATGACTGGAACACATTGTGAGGTGGACTGAGGAAGAGGATATTAATGATCCTTCGTTGTATGAAAGTTCTCATGAATTTTGCTGCATGTTTCAGGGTGTTCCCACTGTCCCGAAGGTCTCTGCTGGAGCGCCCAGCACTGTCAGAGACTGGAGAAGCCGAAGTGTCACGAGCAGTGTCTCGGCGAGTGTCACGGGCCAACCGAGAACGACTGCTACGCCTGCAAGCACTATCGGCACGAGGGGAAATGCGTGAAGAACTGCCCCCATCATTTGTGAGTAATATCATAATAATAAGACTGTCATCTTTGTCGCTTACGAATGATAAGGGGAACGTCGGCGGTAATCTTAGGGAACTAGGGAACCTTAGAAAATAAACGAATGAGAATGAACCTAGAGGAATAGAAAAGGGAACAGTAAAACGAGGAGAGAATGAGCTAAAGGAGAAGATACAATTTAAAGAATAGTTACGTAAAGATAAGAATTTAATAAAAAATAAAACGAAATGTCGATAAGGTAAACTTAAAGAATAATGAGACGAGAATATAAGGTACGATGGTAAAGTAAATTCCACGCGTGAGAAATAGATAAAACACGAATTAATTGGCAAGAGGAATCAGATGAATTGATGATACCTGGTAGACATTGTTGCGAGGGTGAAATTCAGCAAGCGGGAAACGTAACCCAGATATCATCGATCGATGAACGAACGTACCCTCGTTGAGTGTACCACTGAATCATCGTCAGTGAAAATGCAATCGCGTTCCGCAGATACGCCTACCTCTCGAGACGTTGCATCAGCATGGAAGAGTGCGTGAAGATGAATCGTCTGAGGAGGACGTACATGCTGGAGGAGGGACAAGCTTGGAGGCCTTTCAATGGATCCTGTTTGACTCAGTGTCCTGAGGGGTACGAGGACGCCCTTGATCATAATAATGTGAGTTTTTATTCGGTAAACGATCTTTTTTTGTTGCTTCGCTAACGGATATTCCCTCGCATAAAATCACATTGAGAAACAGAACTCTCAAAAAAATGAAAATACATGTCAATTTGTACTTTTACAATTGTTGCATTGATTATATAGCGTTGACGAGGAATAATGCCAGTCGCCTTTGTGCAATTTTTGTGTTTCATAAATTATGTATTTTTGAATGTGTATCTATATATATATTTTATATATATGAATACTATTGCTACTGGTAGTAGTACTAATAATAACAACAACAATATCCTATAATATAATATCTAAAAATCATTCTATATATTAAAAAGTACCGAGAATGCTTAAAGATAATGAAAGACACAAATGGTAACATGAATATCCAAGAACCAATCCTCAAAGACTACTCCGAACCTGCTTGAATCCTGAAGCTCGGAAAAGCTCCTTGACTTGCTGGAAATCAGGATAATTTAAACCTCCGTTGAGTTACAGATGACAACGTGTCGCGTCTGCGAGAATCGCTGCCGGAAAATGAACCACGGCGCACTGATACGTCACATCTCGGACGCGCAGACGTACCGAGGCACAACAGTAGTGAAAGGCGCACTAGAGTTCCAGATCCGCAATGGCAATCCGAACATCATGAACGAGCTGACCGAGGCGTTCGGACAGATCGAGGAGATCACGGAGTACCTGAAGATCACGCACTCGTTCCCGATCACCTCGTTGAGTTTCTTCAAGAAACTGAAGGTAATCCGCGGAGAAAAATTGGACATAAACAACGCCAGTCTGACAGTGTTGGACAACCCGAATCTGTCAGGCCTGTTTCCACCGGAGCAGAAGATCAGGATCGACAACGGCCGACTGTTCTTCCATTACAACCCGAAATTATGTCTCTCGAAGATAGTGCAGTTCAGCAAGATGGTGAACATAACAAATTTTACGGATATGGAGGTGCAACCGGAGTCGAATGGTGAAAAGGTAGCCTGTAACATCGTCAACATCAACATCACTGTGAGGAACCTGGGTCCAGATTACGCGGACTTGGTCTGGGACAGTTACAAACCACCGGAAGGTCAACAGCTACTGAGTTACCTGCTGAACTACATAGAAACTGATAACGAGAACATCAGCTACGAATCGAACGCTTGCGGAGGCAACAACACCTGGCAGATCCTGGACGTTGACATCCCCAAGTGGAACAACACCGTGTCCAAGCACATCACCAACTTGAAGCCGTACACCATGTACGCGGTCTTCGTGAAGACCTTCAACGCCAGAAACACTAAATACTTTTTGAACCCCGTTGGTCAATCCGAGATCATCTTCTTCAGGACCAAAAGCACTATACCGTCTCCGCCGTTGAACCTAGTGTCCACTCCTAAAAGCGACTCAGAGGTTCTCGTTAAGTGGGAACCTCCTCAATATCCGAATGGTCCTATTGGTTACTATATGATCTCCAGCACTGTGATCCCGGAGGAGGAGGACCTGATCTCCTATAGAGACTATTGCAACAATACCATCCGGGCTGAGTCCGAAGTCGAAGAGATTGTACCAGAGGTAACTATCAGAACTCCCGTTGTAAATGTTGCCTCATGCTGCCTCAAGGACGTGCAGCACGTGGATGTGATCACGTCGAAGAAATTCGAGCTATTCTGCCACGAGAACACGACCATTAGCTACATATCGCCCGGCTGGAGGGACTACTGCGTCTACAACAGCTACAATTCCATCGACGACAGTTTCTACGACCTGGCGAACAATCTGTCCTTTCCACAGCAAGAAAAGGACTCCATGAGGACTGAACCAACGAACGCTGTAGGGTCTGTGGACGAGGGTACCGTAACGTACAATATCAGCGGTGCGAACAATTGGTTTTTGGTCACAAAGCTGCGACACTTCTCGAGGTATATCATATCCATTGCTGCCTGTGGCATCAAGGTGAACGATTCCCATATGTGTTCCTCTATTCAATACGCTATCGTGAGGACTAAGAAGCTGGATCACGCGGATGATGTGCAGAACGTGAAGATCCACGTGACGAACAACACCATCGTGGAGGTGACTTGGGACCTGGTCAAAGACCCTAACGCTATGACAGTCTCGTACACTATAGAGTACACGAATCTGGACGTGAAGGACGCGAGGAAGAGTACCGAATGCATCCCGCACACTCGCAAGGAGAAGCTGAAAAGCTTCTTCATCAAGAACCTGAGTCCTGGAAAATACAGTCTCAGAATGAGATCCACGTCTTTAGCGGGGGACGGTTTCTTCTCGGAGGTGGTTTATTTCTCGGTCAATCTATCCAACACTGCGCCGATCACTCTGATATCCCTGCTGATTCTAGGCGTCCTGTCCGTCATTCTAATTGCTATCTTTGTATTCCTGAGAACGCAACATAAGAAGAAAACACAGGAGAGGCTGATCGCTAGCGTGAACCCAGACTACATCGAGACTAAGTACGTGATTGACGAGTGGGAAGTGCCTGCTGAGAGCGTTGAGATCGTCGAGAAGCTGGGTTTAGGAAACTTCGGCATGGTGTACCGTGGAGTGTACGACAAGACTATCCCGGTAGCTATCAAAACCATCTCGAAGACGGCCAGTCAGAGGGAGAAGAACGAATTCTTGAACGAAGCGTCAGTGATGAAGAACTTCTCCACGTATCACATCATCAAGCTCTTAGGAGTAGTGTCCATTGAGAATCCACCATATGTCATTATGGAGCTGATGGAGAACGGAGATCTGAAGACCTATCTGCGGAAGATTAGAGACAGATTGGACCTAGTCCCAGATGCCTGCGGGATCATAAGGATGGCAGCTGAGATCGCTGATGGTATGGCCTACCTAGAGTCCAAGAAGTATGTGCACCGCGACCTGGCCGCTAGGAATTGCATGGTATCCAAGGACTTGGTTTGCAAGATCGGGGACTTCGGGATGGCTAGGGATATTTACGAGACTGATTACTATAAAATCGGCCGGAAAGGTTTGCTGCCTATCAGGTGGATGGCGCCAGAGAATCTCGCGGACGGTGTGTTCACGTCAGATTCGGACGTTTGGTCCTTCGGAGTGGTTCTATACGAGATCTTAACCCTGGCTGAGATGCCTTACCAAGGCTTCTCGAACGAGGAGGTGCTCAGTCACGTGTTGCATAAGGGGACACTCAGTATACCTCGCAATTGTCCTGAGAACATCCACAAGATCATGGAGAAGTGTTTCAAGTGGAGGCCCAGTGATCGACCAACTTTCATGGAGATCGTCGGCGAGCTGGAGTCCTGTCTCGGGCAGGACTTCTGTGAGAAATCGTTCTATCATTCCGCAGAGGGCAAGGAGAGTCGGAAGTCCGGCATGAAGAAACCTTATCACCCGGCGGCGCCCATCAGATTCCACTGGGGGAACGAAACTGCGCGCTGGGTCAAGGAGTTCGAGGACAACGTGACGCTCCTGGACCAGACCAAGGCCGGCACCAGCAGGGGACGCATCTTCAAGAATGGTTTCCAGCATTTTGGTAATGTAGCCAACCTGGAGAACGTGCCTCTGGATCGGTGAGACCGGCTGCGGCGAGGCAATCGCCTGTCAGAGAGCTTGTAGACACGATGTACAAAACGATCGCCCTTAGGGCAACGGATTTCGGTCGGTCCGACGATCATGGACAAGCGTTCGCAGCGGGCTGGGATACTCTTGATCTTTCGGAGCCCGTTCACGAACTTTGATCGACGATCCGCGGAACTTTGTGCGCTCGGCTTGAGGAATCTGAGAAAATGTGATTGAAGATTGACTTAGCTTCTCAGCATCTGCGAACGATGCCACTGTTCATTGAAGATTTCAGTGTCGAGAATTAATACTGGGACTCCTGAATCCTTCTTTTGTGATTATTGAAAAGACCACAGATGCTTCTTTGAGAAACTACTAAAGAAATTGATTTAGTAATACGCAAACGTCAATCGAAATCTCCTGGAGTTTCTAAGGAAGTTTGAGAAATTCAACTTGGTTGATCGTTGTTTCCAGTGTTAAGAGGAGTACTCGTTATTTGGTGGCTCGTTAATCTAAGGGAATGATTTATTTTCTTTTCTTTTCGTTGTTATAACTGATCTGATCTTTAAGATCCCGAGCAAAGTTTGATGTCGCATGTTTTATAAAATTCTATGAGAACGTTGGTGACAGGAGGAACAGTTCCTTTGATTTAGTTTTAACCGAATTCATCAGCGAAAGTGTACATTTCTGCGCAAAGTTCTGTAGTCTATCAATAATCGACTTCGCGGTTACACGCGATGATGACCAAATCACTCCGGACACTACGTCCGTGGGAACCTTGCAGAGTTTCCCCTTCGTTGACCTCTTAAGGCTCGGTTCACATTTAAATTGAAAGTGTTCGAGAATAGAATTAGAATGACGGCAATGGCAGTTTCATTAGCGTGACATTCCGCTAATACGGAAATTATCGCCGACTCCTTGAGGGGTTAGAAATACCTAACCAAAGCTCTCAGCTCCTAGACTGCACAGGACTCACCGTTGACATCCTTGGGAGAATCATTTTGTTCTCCCTGGCTCTTTCGTAGCTGCAGCTACCTATTTCACAAAGAACTGATTAATTATACAAAACGTCGAGTCTATCGTGGGCGGTTATACAGTGAATTCTTTGTTACCGGATCGTTCATGCGGTTGCATTTTTAGGCAAATGTTCCTTTCTTCTCTATTCGTTGATTCGTATAGTATTATGTGCGAGTTTTAACTCTATTTAAAATTTCCATGGATGTACTTTGGAGTTTCCAAAAGAATGAAACAATTGGAAAAGATAATTAGCGTGAACATGAACGAGACATCACCAGACTTTTTAATAGAAACGGGTGATCCCAATTAAGTTTTTCGGTTACGTTGTCGTGTTGTTTATTCTTGTTGACCAAGACGACGGCAAAGTTAACAATGAATTCATTGTATGATAAAGAAAGAAAATTTTCGTAACGTTCTCGTTTCGCGTCGAATCTCGAAACTTATCGTGCTCCGTCGCCGAGTCTCTCTATACTCAACACATCAAGGTTTACTTATACATATCTCAGCGAACTCTCTATCTCTCACTGTTTCTCTCGGTTGGGATTTTATGTAAATAGAGGCGACACGATGATGATTGCTCTCACTCGCAGTTGGTCCGCGGTTGCCCCGAGCATTCACGGGAAAAATGTTAATCCGTTTCTATCTTGATATCGCAGAATCATCTACGAATACCTCGTGGCGCAGCGGGCTCTGCAAGAGAGCTATTATTTTGGATACCAAAGTTGATTGGAACACATCGCGAACAAGTGGGGAAAAAGAAAACAATTAGAAGATAAAGATAATGGCTCTTTGATTGAGAAAGATGTGCAACTATTTTCTTGAAGAAGGTAGTTCTTTCACGGAGAAATTGTCATAGCTCTCTCGCGGAGAAAAATCGTAGCTCTCTTGCGGAGCTCGGCCGCGTTCATGGAATACACTGCAGACAGAAGAACAAAAGGACACAGTAGTCGACGTTATCCGGTCTTTGAACCGAAAACGGACTTGCGCGTTCGCCACACGAGAAAATTCATGCACACCAGAGTTCCTTGTTACATGCATACCGTTCGCACGAGTTGCAATCACGACGCTCGTTCAAGATTTCTTCTATACAGAGGAAAAAAGAACGATTCTCGAGCACGCGATTTGCGGTCATGCGGGTATCTTGTAGGTAAACTTGCAATAAGCATGCCAACAATCTTTGCAATAAGTATAAATAACTTAATAAGGTAAGGAATGGGGTTTAAAGTGGAGGGGTTCTAAAAAGACAAAAACAAAAACAGATGAAAAGAGAGTATCTCTATTTTATAGATATAAACGGATGTCCGGATAAGTATTTTTCTTGGCCGTATTTATTCTTGATCGATCGACTGAGGGTAGCGGGAGCGTACAGGGGCGCGTGTGTGTTGTAGGGGGCGGGGCAGAGGGCGTGCCGCGAGTTTTCTATCGATTCGTCTGGTCCGGTTCGATTCAGACGCGACGAACGAGCCCTGATCGTTGCCCAAACCCCGAGATTTTTCGTCGAGGTGTGTGGCTCGTTCGATTCCTCGTTCGATTCCGGTGAAGAACGATAGAACAAATCGAATCGAACGGGCCAAGGCCAGTGCGACAGGCCGAACACTTCCGAACTGTATTATAAACGCTGTAAAATATTCAGGGAGCTTTCGATTATCTGGATCCGGTTATCCGGTGGCGTGAAAGCATATATTTATATATACACATATATATACATATATTATATATCTATATATTTTATTATTAACATAGTACGTACGCGCGTAAATTATTCTTTTCT